TCTTTTATCATAACTAAGGAAAACTATAATTATCAATTCTTCAACTCCATCAAAGACTCCAGAAGGATATAATATTACTTAAGTAAACTGGAAGTCCGTTGTAAGCTACTTCCAAAACTCTAGAATTGACAGAGATATCTCACTGCTTGGACAGTCATCCAAAGTTCTTCTGTACCATTGGGGCATCCATCTTCAGCCTACAGGCCCATAGTATCTGGCAGACTTTTCCATGAAGCAGGAAATTTCAAAGAGTTCTGTAAAAGCAAATCTCTATAGCATATTGGTCATATTACTCTAAAAACATTCCCCAACAGGAATTTTAATGCAGAAGGAAGATATTATCTTAGAATGATTCTTTTTTACCACATAAATAGACTAAAAATTTTAAAGCTTATGTGGAAATGGCCTCTGAGTTAATTCTAAAAGGAAAACTGAGACTTCATCAATTAGAAGGAATAAAAACAGCAGAAATTATAGTACTTTTAATGATGATGAAATTGACAAATTATAGAAGAACCCTGGCAAAGAACTTGTAGCAATAGTAATTTTTTGGAGAGAACAACAACAACTATTCAAAAGCAAGAGAATTCAACTTATAAAGAGAACTAATTACATCCTTTTTTGCATTGTACTTGTCATACCAATAACTAGAGTGCCTACATTCTATCTTGATGCAAATAAATCAGGAAAGACAGGTTAGAAATCAGAAAATTTAAGTAAAGTGGAACAAAGTCCTCATGATTCTGTCCATAAGTCAGAATTATATGCTATTCTAATGGTGCTAAGAGATTTTAAAGAACTTCTCAATATAGTTACTAATTTGTAGTATGCAGAAAGATTTGTTTTGCATATTGAAACTGCTGAACTTATACTAGATGATACAGAACTGACTTTATTATTTATTCAGTTACAAGATACAATCGGGAATAGGAATAATCTCTTCTACATGACACACATCCAATCCCATATGGGTCTGCCAGGTCCCTTAGCACACGGAAATTAAAAAATCGATCAATGAATTGGAAATGTGCTGAAGGCCTCAAAATTATGTGAAAAAATTATGTCACTAGCAAATGTTAAAAAAAGAACTTTTTCATCACATGGCAACAAGCCAAGAAATTATAAGGAAATGTCCTACTTGTTCTTTATATAATCAAATACCACTACCTGCAGGAAGTAACCCCAAAGGGTACTTAAAGGAACAAAATCTGGAACATAGACATGTTTCATTTTGTAGAATTTGTAAAACTAAAATATGTACAACACACCATTGATACCTATTCAGGTTTTCAATGGGCAACTGCTTTGAGTTCGGAAAAGGCTGATTCAGTAATCACACATTTGCTACAAGTTATGTACATTATGGATATACATGTATCAATAAAGACAGGCAATGCTTCAGCAATTGTCTCTAAAAAAATGAAACAGACTTTTGCTTATTATAATATAAAACATATTACAGGCATACCACACAATCCTTCAGGGCAGGCAGTGATAGAAAGGTCAAATTGAACTCTAAAGGATACATTAAATAAACAGAAAGAGATGATAAAGACCCCCAGAAATGGCTTGCATAAATGAAGCATGAATAATAAGAGTTCGTAAACTCTTATTATTATTGGGGTTCAACCTTCCATAGACAGATATCGGGGTTCAAACTGAAGATCAGAAAAGCAAAGCAACCAACCACTGACTCTTACCTCTACCTCAGAATGAAATGGTGATCCTGCCTCCACGAATCCTCAGAATGAGACTGAGCTGAGACCTGTCTCCTCCCTTCCTATATTCCTCTCTAGTGATGGCATTAAAAGCCTGCACCACCAATGTCTGCTCTCTATAGCTGTGTAGTTACTGGTATTGAAGGTGTGTGCCACCACTGCCTGCTCTGTATGGCTAACCAGTGAGGCTGCTTTAGTCTCTGATCTTCAGGCAAACTTTATTTACTAAAATATAACTGAAATATCACTACAAATAATGCTTTATTAACTTTGAAATTTCTAAATGCTAATGAGAAAGGAACAACAGCTATGTAGAGACTTTGAATAGTAGAAAAAATACAGAATTAAATCAGTCGATATACTTTAAAGATGTACTGACCTCAGAATGGTTACCAGGACTTGTGTTACATTGGTGAAAGAGTTTTGCATTTGTTTCCACAGAAGAAGAAAAACTATGGATACCATCAAAATTGATAAAGATTCAATTTGAACAAGAGACACATCTTAATTAGAAGAGATGATAGTTCATTAAGCACCATGGCCATTTAATCTAACGTAACCTATAAAGGTAACAAATGCTTTTAATTTGATCAGTTATAACTTTCCAAAAGAGAATCTCCCCAAAATTAAGGTCAGGGAAAGGTTTTGTTTTTGTCTTTTCAGGAAAACAAAGGTATTCAACTAAGAAATCTGAAGACCATTGAACAAGACCATGAAACATCTAAAGAAAAAAGATAAGTCATTCAGAAAGAAAAAGTCTCAAAAAAAGTAGTAGGTTGACCTATTTCTATATCACATTTCCAACAGGGTAAAATTTCAAAAATTTCCCCAAATGTTTCTTTCTGCTGTTCCCTACAGACATATAATACAAATGTTCTTTTTGTAGTCCCAGTCCAGTTAAAGATTAAAGCTGGCTTTGGAGTTGAAGTGTGGCTCTCTCCATCTCTAAATCTAAGCATGCTTATTAAAGTGAAATCTAAAATCTCTGTCTCATGTCTGAAGAGGCACCTGATATGGCACAGAAAAAAACAAATATTTAAGGACAATTTTATTGGCACTAATCTCATAATCCTTTGGTTTTGTATTGACTCTTTGACAGCTTTTTTAAGTTATAAGTTTTATAAGATTAATATATATATTAAAATTTTGTCATGATATTAATGGTCATAGAGAGTACTAATTCTAGAAAAAGTTTTAATCTACCTTCCTGTACATGATTTTGGGTTTGAGTCTCTATCAGTTTTCTGCAGTGAACCATGAGCATACCTACCAGTGACCTTTGAAGTCTTCAAAAGGAGGGTGGGTGGGGCCCACAATGATGATTCCTTCAGGATTATGATAACACCACTAAGCTGAAAAATACCACCTAATGATTGGCTTTGGATGACAAACTGATTAGAGCAATTTCAAGGTGGCTAGCTGAGATGATCCAGCCTAACAGATTACTCTAGCCAATCTTTAAGTGGTGTTTTTCAGCTGGGGACAATGGTATCTTTCAGGGATACTGAAAATAAAAATTTGAGTTAATTGTCAAGTCCTAGGAGAGGTAACTATCATTTTTTGTCCAATCTCTGCATAATGGGAAAGTGACAGCTGTATTGCTGGGCACATTGTGGGGCCACTGGCAGTGAGATCAGAATTTATCTCTACTGCTTGTACTGGTTTTTTTTCTTAAGGGTACTTCCTGCTCTTTTTTTTTTTTTTGAAAGTAATTTTATTAAATTATAAAAGTTTCCATTTCCGCCCCTCTTCCCAAGACCCTCCCACTTCCCCCACTCCCTCTCCTCCTCCCTCTTCATCCCTTAGGGCTGTCAGGGTTTCCTGCCCTGTGGGAAGTTCCAGTTCCTCCCCCCTCCCTCCAGGTCCAGGAAGGTGAGTATCCAAACAGACTGGATCCCCAAAATCCAGTATATGCAGAGGAAACAAGTTCCAGTGTCATAGTCAATGGCTTCTCAGAAAGACTTCGGGCCAGCCACATTCAGAGAATCCGGCCAAATTCCGAGAATCTGGTTAGATCACGTCCTCGTTCAGTTGTACTGGTTTTTTCAAACCCATTCTTTTTGAAGGGACACCTTGCTCAGTCTAGATATAGTGGGGAGGGCCTTGGTCCTGCCTCAAAGCAATGTATTAGACTTTGTTGACTCCCCGGGGGAAGCCTTACCCTCTCTGAGGAGTGGATGGGGGTGAGAAAAGGGGAAGGTAAAGGGAGGGTATGGGAGGAGGGGAGAGAGTGGAAACTAAGATTGGTATGTAAAATGAGAAAAGATAGTTTTTCTAAGAAAAAATGAACTTATAGTCATATTAGGTATGTTTTCAAGGTTAAAGAAAGGCATATTTTAGATAGATGGGTCATCCTCAAACATTTCAGAGATCTACAGAATATGGAATATAAGATGTTTTAATAACAGGTTCTTTTTTATGACAATAAGACATGTCTGCTCCTGGGAGCACCAATCTACTTCAGAGAAGATAAAGGGCACTGAAGAAACTCCACATGGAGTTTACTTTCTTTGTGGCAAAAGTAAGCTACTTGGCTAGAAAATGTCCTTACCTCAACTGCTGGCAGTATGCTGTCCTGATGGGACAAACAGGACACAAAAACAAAAGACAGTGACAGCCAAACATTATTATCAAGACAAGGCAGAACAACTCTTCAGAATGTCCTGCTTCACAGAAAAGTCTGTTGGATATGCTAGGCCTGTGGGCTAAAGATAGATACCCAAATGTTGCCAAGTAACTTTGGGTGACTGTCCTAGAAACCAGCTGTTTCTGCCATTTCTACAATTTTTGGAAGTCGCTTGCTCATACTTCCTGCTTACTCAGTTAATATTATTTCCTTCTTGGGTCTCTGAGGGGGTGGAAGACTCGATAGTTACAGTTTTCCTTGTTTACCTGACACAGAAATCAAGTTATGATAGAAAGTAAATTAGGTACAAGACTTTGGACTCAACAAGATAGCATAGATATGGAGTATTTTCTCTGAATTTGTCAAATGCAAATGGACTAGACATTGTTGACATATTTATTGCTTGCATATATTGTATATAGTTACTATATTTATTGTTTAGTCTTTTTTTAGCCTTAGTTATAATCTTTTTATTTTAGACGAAAAAGGGGGGAAAGATAGTGACATTTCATTTGTATTTTAATAAATATTGCTTGCCTGAATACCAGAATGCAAAACAGCCACACTAATCAGCCATACAGGCCAGGCAGTGGTGGCACATACCTTTAATCCCAGCAGGCACACTAGTTAGCCATAAAGGCCAGGTACTAGTGGTGCATGCCTTTAATGCCAGCACCAAAGAGGAATATAAGGCAGGATGAGACAAGAACTTGCCCCTTTTTCAGTCTGAAGGTTTCATAGAGGTAAGAGCTCTCTAGTGGTTTGGCTTTCTGATATTCAGGTTGAAACCCAATATCTGAGTTTTTAGTAGTTGTGCTACTAAAGGCATACATTGTTTATCTGGTTTATAACGTTCTTAAGAACTGGCTTCCAGATTCCTTAAATTAGGAAATGATTGAGAAACAAGGACAGTCATAGAGGTAATCTACAATCCCAGAATTCAGAACACTGAGGTAGGAAGACTGAAAGTTTGAGGTTAGCCTGGGCTACTATAACTAGACACTGGGGAAGGGGGGGAACAGTAATTAACGATTCTTGGCATAAATCTGAACAACTGAGCAGATTTAAATAAAAGCATGCTGGTAAGTTTTTAAATTATTTATTTGTATGTGTCTGTGTGTGCATGACACTGTGCACCTGTGGAGGTCAGAGGACAATTTGGAGGAGAAATACCCATTTCTCCCCAAGCTCCCCAAGGATTTTTGACTCTGTTGGGGTCATTTTCCTCTAGTTCCATATGTTGAGAATCTTGTGACTGTTTGAAGCAGTGAGGGTTATTCAGTAAAGAGAGGTGACTGAAGAGTGCTGAAGTGTGATGTCACAGTTGTCTGTAACATTTATTTTGTCTCACACAAATGACATCAGTTACAGGTCTCTCTGGGTCCACTTCCCCCAGGGACAAAACTAGCTTCTCATTTGCCCTGAGAAGAGAGACGAAGTGGGTCTCTCTTTATGTACACATGGTTATCTTTAAAGAGAGAGAAAAAAATACATTGGAACACGCAGGAGGTATATTTCTCATGAACAGCATTGTAAACCCCAGTCTTCCAAATCAAGGACTATCTAGAGTTTAACCCAAAGTGCAGAACATACTCAAGACAAAGCAGCAGTGGGCAGCTTTGGGAGACAGTTCAGCAGTAGCACCCATGCTCAGCATGGATGAGGCAATGGTCTAATGCTCAGCACCAAGACCTACAGGTGACAGTTTTAAAAAGGAAATGGGAGAGGGGTCTAAAAACCTGGAAGGTCTGATTCTGCTGATACCAATACACAAGACATAGAATAAGCTTTTTTCTTTCTTTCTTTCTTTCTTTTTCTTTCTGATGTTACAAGGTTCTGTAAAATGGGCTGGAGTGATAGTTTATTTGATCAAGTGCCTGCCACAGAACCATGAGGACCCAAGTTCAGTCTTTACCACCTATTTCAGAAATGGTATGACTGTAATCCCAGCACTAGGATGACAGACAGGCAGATCTCTGCATCTTCCTGCCTGCGTGTGTAGCTGATCCAATGAGCTCCTGGTCCCAGTGAGAGACCCCGTCCGTCTCTTAGAAACCAAGGTGGATAAAGGCCGAAGACATCTGGGGTTGAGGTTGATCTTTGACACATGCATACACATAACACACACACACACGAGAGAGAGAGAGAGAGAGAGAGAGAGAGAGAGAGAGAGAGAGAGAG